TTCCTTCTACTTGCGCGCTACCGAGTATTTTATCATCATGATCTGGCCACTCATTTTCTGTCTTACGTTGAGATTATTCGGGGAATGTCTCTTCAACGTCCTTTCTCAGTCTGGATGGAATATAACAAACGATGAGACCGCTTCAGTTACGCCGAAGCCGAAGATGGCGCTTGGTTTACCGAAGACACAACGCTAATGGCGGATGTCTTGCGCACATCTACAATTGTTCCAGCCTCCGGTCCAGTCCCAGCTGTTACTTACTTCTATCACTACAATCTATCACTTCCATCACTTTTTCTATCACTATGCCCACGAGGATCCAGAGCACGACGACGATATGGAAACTGAACCGGAAGCGAACGCTCCGAAGAAGACCGCGTAAAATTTTCATTATTTATTTGGCTAACGGATTCTAAACTTTGTGTGAGGGAGTGTGACGTATGACTCATGTTATGATTAATAATAATATTGTATTTAATATTAATTATGAGCTTACGACTATTCACGGGATTACGGATGTGAGCAAAGCAACGGTTGATGAGCGGTGTTGTTTGGATTCCGAGTTGTGCTTGCCAGTTTGTCAGTTGTTGTTGAGTTGGTCTGGGAATTATATATTAATGAACTTACATAGTCTGCAAAGGTCTGCTTGTGGAACAAAACACGTAAAGTACTAGCTGCTCAGATGCATTTGGGGAAACCAGCCCTATTGGTTTAGTTATACCTATATTTCTTTGGGGGGAAGCTAGCCCTGGGATTTTGCTACAAAAATCAACTTGTGCGTAGTATATGAAGTTATGAATGCTTACTGAATTTTAATGTGCACATAGTGCTCTGAATTGAGGATGTACGTGTACATACACACTGATAAGTTTACTATTCAAAAAATTTGTATTATTAATTGTTTGAAAGTTTTGTTCGGGTTGCTATGATCTTTAATTACAGCATTATTTTTGTGTACTTCTTTATAAACAGGGATAACATTTTAGTATAGTAATATGTATAACATATATTGATATTGTTAATATTGTTTTCGTGACGCTGTCCACCATACTCAAGCTTAATAAATAGAGTACTTCTGAATAACAAATGTATTTACGAAGACTTTTACAAGAAACTGCAGACGAAGATGGCGCTGTTGAGTTTGCTATACAACACGCCTGAAAGCGGTCTAGTTAAACATACTACAAAGTGTACAGCGTCCTAATCATAATACCGAACAGCTTGAGATCAAGCGACGTCCAGGCCGCGCTTTTCCTTGGTCATATCGTTGCCGGATTAGCCCACGGTTTCCAGTCAACACAGAAACTATATCTGGCCACTGTAAATTGCCGTTGGACAATAATATTTAACTTTTTTTTCACATAGTGTCGTCATTGAAGTGCACATCTCCATTTTCCAAAGATGACGGAAAAGGAAACATTGTTAACGGAGAGTGGATAGCCTTCGACTGTACCTCCCAGTCGGCAAACTGCAGAGCTGTCATCTTCACAAACATGATTCAACAATTGAAAGATTTTCTCATCGAAAATGCTCGATTAAAAATTATCAATCCTAATATTTCTTTAAAAAATAATTTTGGAAACGACCGTTATACAGATGATATCGAAATACAGATTCGGTCCTACACTATAACTGAAAAGTCCAATGAACGAAATAAAATAATTTCTTAATAGGTACTTTGAAATGAGTTATCTGATTAAAGATTTCAACTTCTGGCTGTCCGTTTGTTGTAAAAAACTAACATTCTCATATTTGTATAATTCTACCGTAGTTATATGCAGAGTATTATACTATTAATAACAGTAGTACTCAAAAGTTGCGCTTAGTACTCGAACTTAGTACACAGAGGGTGATTCCGCCAAATTGAGACAGCATTGGAAATAATTCCCAGTAAATTTCCAGTTGATAGTTTTCATACCTCCGCGACTATTGTATCTATTTGAGAAAACAAAATTTGAGAAAACCTAATAAATTCAGAAGAAGAGATGCCTCCGGCGGAAGTTAAGTACCGCGGTACCACCGTGATACATTTGGCCGCTCTCTTCATTAAAAATATTGTCACCCTCCTTACGTGCGATGTACTTAAGCCGCTTCTTTTAAAACGCCCTCTGAAGCTGTATCCAGGGAACATAGCTGGGAAGACCTCCATCAGAACTTCATCCCGGTACGCACCATAAAAACTCCATGTCAGTAGCTCAAAATCTGACAGCGACGAATATGCACTGAAGAGTTGAGGACCAAGCTATCCTGTACAACTTTCAACCAGAGGTTTCTAAAACAATGGGATTTCTAAACGAATTTTTAGTTAAAATAGTGCGTCGAATTTTTGCAGTTTGTTAATGAACAAAAAGGGGGTCTGCGAAAAGCAGTGATCACTGCTTTTCGCAGGCCCCCTTTTTGTTTCCAAAATCCTATGACTCTCAGGAGAGTTTGAACTTTGTCAAAGCAAATTGATCAGCTAACTAAAAGGAATAGCATTTAAATATAATGATTTTTGGATGAATAACTGGGCTGAGGAGAGCAAAATAAATTTGCGAAAAGCTGTCTCAACTTGGCGAAATCACCCTCTGTACACGCTTTCTCCTGCGTCCCGGCAAACGCCGGTTGCCGGGAAGCGCCCCCTCTACCTTTACCTCCTTCGTCAAAACCGGCTGCCACAGACTGCCGGGTGCCGGGCACTTAATTGGACCGTCCTCGGACGTAGCAGAACTTTTTGATTCTCCGCTGTGCTGTTCCACAAGTAGCGCTCTACCCAACCTGCGTTACAAGGACCACGTCTGCCACTCGGTTGTTATTTTTTCGACTGCTTTGATCTCTTCCATTATTCTACGCATTCTCCAAAGCCGAAACGCGTCATTACTAGGAGTGAGACGTCTACTGTTACCCCCCCACCAGTGATATACCATGTGTTCCATCGTCGACATTGGCACTTACAATTAGGATTCCTTTTCGATTTTTCGACTTTTTACCGCTACCCTCTAGTTCACGTTCCTGACGCACTGGGATAACGACACCGTGGCGTTAACGAAAGCTAGTGCGTAGGATTTTGTTACTAGCCTACGGCAGTGCTATTAGAACTGTATCGTCGCGAATTTAAGAGACGATCAGTAGACCCATTCATCTAAAATACGCATACTCTCAAATTACTCTCAAATTACGGCAGGGCGGGCAGATGATCACCTGGCAGCGGTTCCGGATGCATGTTTGCAACCGGACATCATAAGATTACAGTATGTAGGAGTGCACAGGTCGTGGACCGCTGACAGTTAATCTGACCTTTCTACAAATGCTCAAAAGCAGACGTGGGAGTTGGATGCGCAGGAGCTAGCAAGCAGCGGGCTTTCTCACTCGGAAGCCCAAGAAAAAGTGGTTAGAACCATTAAAATAAAATAATTTCGGCTAAGGTGAGAGTTGTGCTGGCTGTGCACGTAAGAACGTTGTCACCGACACAGGAAAGTTAAAGCTCATCTAGCATAGGCATGCCATCTGATTGATGGCAGTGGCGACTCAAGGCACAAGCGAAAACTGAAAATAATGGTTGACACATGACCCTCACTCGGCATTGCCCGAGAAAGTTTTGCCTGGTTGAAAAAAAGTATTTGACCGCGACGTAACAGAGGGTTTCACCGCGGATAAACGGGATTTTTACTCTTTCGACCAAAAGTTCCTGATACCACATCCCACAGGGAATAATTGCCAGTCCGTCTTGCGAACCAGTGCAGCAATGATAAGGTCAATTCCGATACAGCTCACTATTTTGGTACAGTTATGAGCTATTTTGGTACAGTTATGACCTTCTTTATGCACTTACCTGCATTCTGCTGCATATTTACCTGGGCAGCGATTCTGTTGTCATACGGCTACCACAGTTCTCCAGGAGGAAAAACAAGATATCTTTGTGTCGAAGCTGTGTAATTCAGATAATTTTGTGTACAGCTCTTCAGTATGGCATTGTGTATCACGATACAACTAAAACATTTTGTTCGTGGTGGTTACTTTAAAAGATCCGTATTAGTTTACCATAAAGCTTGAAGCATAAGTGATAAGTAATTCAATACAAAACAATTATTTGTACATAGAGCACTGCTGATAACATTTAGATATACGGGCGATTCGAGTTCCTAGTCAGAAAATAGACTGTAAGCAAACCGATAATAACAAATACTGTAGAGTAGGTATTTGCACGAAAACACTGCATTTAAAACGCCCAAATATGGATAACAATTAGAGTGCAGCATATTATGTTGCAGTGACTGTGGAACTGCTTTTTGCTTAGCAACTGTACACCAATCGAAGCATAGCACTGGGTTTTAAGTACAGTACCGGTACAGTACTTACTAGTGTAGTAGATTTTACCAGGTTGACATCGTACAAACACGTTTATATCAGTCTCTATGATTACTGTATAACTTACGAAAGTAGATATAAGAAAAGGGAGCTTTCCCAAATGTCGTAATAAAAAATCGATTATTTCGACTCCCCTTCTACGTCATCGGGCAAGGTATAAAAGGTTGCACACAAACCTTTTAGTAAACTAAGAACCATAAAAGTGTAAAGAAGATCGGTTGACTTTCGGTACACTGGAATCCATTTTAACTTTTTGGATTTTGCTTCCAGCCGTAGCTCCCGAACCGGAAGCTGCGCGCACAAATAGTTTTACACCTATGCATACAAATCATATGGCTACAGAATGACATTGAACAAAGTAGCGCAAAAGTGGAAATTTTCGTGCATGCACATGAATTTGGTACCATCTACCGGGCCACTTTCCTTAAGTTACTTATGTCGAATAGCAGTATTTGCAAGGATCATGAAGGAAAATTTGTTTCGCCTTCTAAATACGATGTCGCGCAGCTTGTGTAAATTCCATAAGCTTCACGTTGTTTTTGCATTGTTTTGCAATAATGCAGCACAAGGGCACTTAGAGACAAAAGAGGCAGACAAATTCATACCGTGTCATTGAAATGAAACAAACTAACGATTACTAGTCGCTGATGGATTTTAAGCCTTTAAGGGATATTTTGTTTGAGACTCGAAATTCCAAACAGAACAGCGACACAAACGAATTACGTAGTCCAGTGCATGTTCATACGACTGTGCTTTCCCGCTTTCGATGTATCAAGTATCCACAACAACGTAACGGTGTATCGCGTTGTCAGCAGCCGAAAGTGCCATTAGCCGTTCTGCAAGGCTTTGGACAGAACATCTTTTTTTATGGTCAGTTTCCCAGCATTCAAGCATCAGGTTATATCTGCAAAACAATTAGCGTTTTTTTCATTTACAGCTACTGCCTGTCGCTGACCAAAAATAAAATCTGCTATAAAAAATGAGCTAGAATCATAAAACTTAGGAACCGAAAGCACACTGAACGTTGGAAGAATTAACGGGAGTTTACATGCTGCCATAGTATGCAGTTTCGCGCTTACAATTGATCTGGACAACTGGAGGGTTGAGGCAAGCGTTCGCCATTTTGTAGATGCGAAATCAATTCAGGAACATTTGTCTTCATCGGAAGCAACGACTGGTACGGCACTTCGCACCAAGTGAAGATCTCCCACATAACCACCCCCAAAGACCATACGTCGCTAGCTAGGCTAAATTTGGCCGACAAAAGTGATTCCAAAGCCATCCATCTAACCGGCAGACGAATCTAAAAGTAACCTCGAATTAATGTACAGATTACTAATATAACACTTGATGCACCTGCAACCCAATACAGTGAAAAAAACAACAAATTACCGGTTTGGTTTCTTTAAACTCTGGTCCATCCCTTGCCATCCCAAAATCGGAGATTTTCAGATTCTTATTCTCAGCGAGGAGAATATTTCGAGCCGCTAAATCTCTGTGAATAATATTCCGCAGGGCCAGATGCTGCATCCCACTACAAATCTGTCTGCTAAAGCCTAAAAATTCTATAGGATCCCATTCTCTGTTTGCGCCGATGGGTGCTGTCTGATCCGTTAGCCTTTCTCGTTTTTTGCGTAAATATTTATCTAAGGATCCGTGAGCACACAGCTGAGTAATTAGCCGCAACTCTCCTGTAAAAAGAGTTGTAAGTCCCTTGAGTGATCTTTCAAGGCACTTGAATAGTATTATCAAGATCTGTACTGTCGGTAGTGATTCTCAACAGGGTGATCACATTGGGATGTGTGTTGGCCTTATGCAGCATTTTGATCTCATGAATAAGTTGCCGCTCGTTGTCTTTTGAACCTAGTAGCACTCGTTTCACTGCCACATCCGTTGACTGCAACGGTCGAATGGTCGATTCCGAAGGATGGTTTATTATTGGACGCTGCTGAAGAAGTACTGCTTTGAGAACTAATCCATAAGCTCCTTGTCCCAGTACGGTGGACTCTATCAAGGTCAGTCAAATACCTGTAAATCTGCAACGTAGTGATTTATTATGATTACCGATCTTCAGGTGACCGTCGTTAACATGGTATTGGTCATATTCTGGACCCAGCTCCTTGTGTATTTCCTTGACCGTTAATTTAATCCCTTTCAGCCTGTTGTTCTATGAAGACCACGCATGAAACAAAAGATCCCACTATATAGGACAGTGCCATTATTTGTTGCCCATTACCGTCTTTGCGCGCTTTGTCCAAGCAAATATTATCATTACGATGAAAATCCCCAGAATGATCAGGGCAAGAAAAACCGCAGTCCACGCCCAGTTATTTGTATCTATATCAGCTGAATCTGCAAAAACCGTAACGACAGAACTGTGGGCAACACGATTACCAAAACTCTAGGAATTATTAAAAGACAACAGCGCAACAAGTATTGTCAACAGCGCAGCGTATGCTAGGTAAATCCCGCGCAGTTTTAAAGCGTAAAATAAGATTTTCAAAGAAATCGCCATACTCCAGCAATATGAGTGTAGCAAGTACAACCTGCACAGGTATTATGTAGCCTAAACAAAGCTGTTGAAATCTTTTAATTATTGTCTAAAACACTGATCCTTTAAAGTGAGAGGAAAGGGATATTTGCTGTACGAGTACGGTGACTGTGGTAGTATTACAATATAATTAATTCAGAAATGGGTTTCGTAGCAGGCAGAATGACAGCCAGCGATGTCATCATAGGTCGTGCTAGCTGCTGTTCGGGACGTCGTTTGCGTTATTTTCGTAACGAACACAAGTGCGACATTAACATTTGACGTTGCACTGAATTTAGAGGACCCGCCCCGACCATCGCTACGCTCCTGACGAAAATCCTTGCACTCGTACAGTGAATATCTCTCCCCTTGTAGTCTACTTACCCGTAACGCAGCTAACATTCGCTTTGAATATATACCATATGTGGTACTCAATGCCAAAACTGAAAGTAGCGTTTGGATCGATGAATAGCATTCGAAAAGTGTAGATATCCGGATTAAGGTCCAACGCATTAGCCATTACAGCTTGCGTAACTTGTTCGTACTTCCATTTCTCGCTTACATCGGTTTCATTCCCGCCTTCAGCGATTACATCTAACCCGACAAACTCTGTCGCTGTCCCATCCGGGTCATAAATCTGGAAGCGTGATGTGCAAAATACGTATAAGCATTCAAAACATTCTCATGGAATCCCATATCCACCGCCCTGATTTAATGGTCCGGTAATTTACAAATAAATGTAAAGGTGTGCTCAGGTGGTGGTAGCACGTCAATCTTCTGCCCTCTGTTTTGCTTTCCGACAATAGCTGACCGCCATATTGCTGATTAACTTAATCTGTTGATTGACAGATTACTGGCCGACAATTCGCTTTTCCACAAGTTTTATTGCCGACTTTCTGCAACAATTATTTCGTTACCGTTTGGTTTTGGCGTTGGTTTCCTACGGTAGCTTTCTGGATGTTGTTTTGGGTCACCTTGGTTTCTTAAAAAGAGATAAACGCAGTAGAGATAAAATACAAAATTTAAGAAAACCTACGGAAACGCTCAAAGAAACGGAAACTTTTTATCTCTATACTCTCTCTCTCTCTCTCTGCGTTATTTTTATGTTTTCAAACTTTTCATGTATCAGCAAAATGTTGGGGTTCAGCAACTTATCAATCCTCGAGTTGTCTTTCTACGAAATGTCGGACAAATATTTTGAAATTCAGCAAAAAGTCGTCATCAAGTTGTCGGTCAGCATGATTGTGGTCAGCAAATTGTCGGAGCACCGACAAAGGCGTCAGAACAGAGGCGTGGTGTTGTATCGGTGTCAAGGCGCTTACATGTAAGGCCCTGATCAACGGATGTAAGTGCATGACTACAGTCAGACAATCACTGCATTTAACGTACGGAACGTTTCTGATGGACTTTATACCAAGTTCTAATCTTGCCATCTCACTCCTTAATTGCAAGATTTACGGTGAATGAAGACCAGAAAATGTTTTGTTACCAGGTTTGACGGCTAGGTTTGATACGAGCATTGTATACCGAGATTACCATCCTTCGAGTACCCTTCGAGTATATGTAACTCAATACGAAGCCGGAACAGTGCGTTTAAGCGCTTCGAGCGCGAGCGTAATATGATGAAGAGAGAAAAATTGCGACAAGAATGAACATAGAGGACCTTCGCTACGCTTCGGTCGAAAATTCTAGAGTCTATCTGAAATTTTTAATAAATTAGCAAAGTTTTGGTGACAACTTGGCGTGTGCACCATGTAAAACCCGGAGCAGTACAATTTGCTGGACACTCGCCGAACAGTGCGAACACGCTGGCGTATTGTTAATTTAAATACGGCCCTTTCTCATCGTCGCCGTCTCAGTGTGGTTATATTCGGACGATCTACTGCAGACTTCACAAATTTCTTGGAATCATTTCGACTACTGACGCAAACTTCACTGTCTGAATCTGCAGTTTTCCGTCGGTCACCGCCACACTTGTTTGTACCTATTTATAAAAGGGAGGGGCACAGAAACCTTTGTATTAACGGCTTATGACAGCGGTTGCGTCTTTTATTCAATACCGACTACCGATGCCCTTTCCACCAGTGGTCGAATTATTTTACCAACTTAATCATTGTCACCATACAGAAATTATTCTGAACATTTTTTTGAATACTTTAGCCGCTCGATGAATTGCACTACAGAGTCTGGTACGTAAATATTCCACTGCTCGCTGTGCGAGGAAACGTGCGCGGCGAAATGAAATCAAGCTAAATTATACCCGTTGACCTTTTCCTAAAGGTACAGTTTCGAAACTGTCGTCTAGCAAGCTAAATAAAAAACGGCTCACCGGCTTAGAAAAACGTCATTCGTAGTTTGGCCCATATATGTTGCCTTCAAAGTTTTTTTTAACTTGGCGGCTGTGAGTCGTGACGCGTGGGATTGTTTTTCAAAAATTTTTAGTGAAATTAGGGGACTCTTTGCCTGAGTGTAGAAATGGGTGTCGAATATTACTGCCATACAGAGTATGCCGGTAAATGAAAGTTAAGTGTAACTTAGCTAATGTTAAATTGGCGCAATTTACGAATTCCTGTACAGTTGTTTCCCTGTTAATCCCGGCACCGGCAGCATGGTGCCGTGTGCATTTTGCCTTTCGCGCGTTACAGCTTACTCGCATTCGTGTTTTCGGCTACATTCATGCTGTTACGTTCGAATTTCTGGAATCTCGCTAAAATCTTCCAGCAATACCCTTCGTGTCGTTAATTTACGGTGATCAGAAGCATTCTGCATAATGCCACCAAAGAAAAAGCCTAACCGAAACCTGAGCCCGAGAAAAACGCGCTCTGGCGGCGGCACCAGAGGAGGCCGGGCTCCCCAATCCAGGATGCGTCCCAGCCGAAAGCGCGACCGATCCCAGTCACCTGCTCCTACAATCAGGTCGAAAGTCGTAGTTGTGGATCCACCGGCACCCGATTTGCAAACCGTGATGGTGCGACAGGACCAACAGCAGCGACAAATCCAACAGCTCCTGGATATTGTCACACCGCTGGCAACCAGGGAGCTTGGGGTTCCCCGGCCTATCTCTCCAGCAACTGCATCTGTCATCCAGATTGAGTCGCACCCGGACGGAAAAAGGGATGTGCATCACAGCAGAGGAAGCAGCGGACGCGCGCATCGCCGACGAAGAGGTAAGAGCAGCAGTTCTAGGAGCCGCTCCTCGTCTCACAGCCGCTCACCCGCCCGCCCGCCGATTTTCGACCGTCTGGGTCCGCATCCTTGCGGAAATCAACGAAGCGGATACCGCGCATCATCGTCCGCTCGAAACGCTCTGCTCGATCGGGCGAAGCACCTGCCAGCGGTCCCCAGCAGGGTTCGCCGGCGACTTGCGGACCCAACGCGGTACGTCGATTTTGATTGCTTGCCAAAAAACCGGGTGGAAAACCGAAGCATGGAGGCTCCAAGCTGGTAATGTCAAGAGGACACGTCGTGTTAAAGCCAAACGAAGTGCGCGTAGTCGTTGACTCCTTCACCTCCTGGATCCGCGCCTTTTCCGTGTTCCTGGCATACCGCGTCACAATCGTGCCGGAGCTAGCTACGGCCCTGGCTAAGTATCAAGATCTGATTGCGGCATACGTCGACCGGGGGGTTCCGACCGCCCATTGGCTCGAGTATGACCGGCAATTCAGATCGCTCATGACCAGCCACCCTCATGAAATTGACATGTGGGCCCGCCAGCATGACGACACTTACGCCGATTATATCCAAAACGCCGTGCCAGAGGAGGCTGCCAGCGACAGTGCCCAAGAAAGTAGATTGAAGAAGACAGCAGCTCCCACGGACAAATGCCGGAACTGCGGAGAGCTGGGGCACTTTATCGCCCAGTGCAAGCAGCCACGCCGCGGCCAGGCCGGTTACGTACCGCCCTTTCGTCCCGCCCCAGCAGCGGGGGCGAAATCTGCCGCAATCATAACTACGGCCACTGCACCGAACCATGCAAACATCGGCGCCTACACGTCTGCGAGCACTGCCGGAAAAGGACCACAGCACCCCAGTGCAAAGCCGGAAGTCGCTGAGCCGTCGAGAGTTCCGGCAAGCGCTTGACGCCCCTGCGTGCCGACGCTTTTGCCAGGCTGCTCACGGATCACCCCGATAAAGATCTCCGTCAGTTCATCCTCAACACCTTGCGTACCGGAGCTGATATTCGGTATACAGGACCGCAACAAAGCCGGTCCACAAGTAATTCACAGTCCGCACGAATTCACCACGACGCGCTCCTGCAAAGCATAAGAAAGGAGGTTTCGCTGGGTCATACCGTCGGACCATTCTCTGCTCCTCCGCTGCCTCATTTCGTCGTTAACGCGCTGGGCTGCCGTCCAAAAAAAGACGGGGGCCATCGGACTATAATGGACCTTTCCCAACCGTACGGAAACAGCATCAACGACTACATAAGGGGCGATGAAATGCCCTTGCAGTACTGTTCAGTCGACGATGCTGTACGCCTAGTCGTGACCGCCGGCAAAGGCGCAGTGATGGCCAAGATGGACATCAAGTCCGCGTTTCGCCTCATTCCCGTCAGACGCGCCGACTGGAACCTGCTGGGGTTCAAGATTAGCGGTGAGTACTTTTTCGACATAGTGCTACCGTTCGGTTGCCGCTCTTCACCTTATATCTTTGAATTCTTCTCCCTTGCTGTTCACTGGTGTGTGGGAAAGAGAGCACGGCTAGTTACCTTGCTACACTACGTAGATGATTTCTTTTTCGTTGGCAAACCTCGGACGATCGAGTGCAGTCTATGGAGGCAGTGTGCAGCGAGCTTGGGGTGCCATTAGCTCTGGACAAAACAGAGGGCCCCGCCACTCGGCTGACATTCCTCGGCATAGTGCTTGACTCGGTGGCGCAGACTCTCAGCCTGCCCAACAATAAGCAGCTAGACATAATGGAAACCCTCAAGAATTGGGTCGGAAGGGAATCCTGTACCACTAACGAGCTGCAAAGTCTGATCGGTACATTGTCTTTGCCTCAAAATGCGTACCATCCAGTCGGCTGTTCACGAGGCGAATGATAATGCTGCTTTCCGCCTTCCATGGACGTTCCACTATCACTCTCACCGACGACTTTCACAGTGACCTGGATTGGTGGAGAACATTTCTGCCACAATGGAACGGCACGGCCCTCTTCCTGGACCCGGACTGGACCACCTCTGACGTACTGCACCTTTATACAGACGCATCCGCCACGCTTGGTCTGGGAGCCTTTTATCAAAACGAATGGTTCCAGCTTAGGTGGCCAAAGTGGATCCTGCAACGCCCGCCATCAATTGAGTACCTGGAGATGGTTCCCATCCTCCTCGCGGCTATTATTTGGGGGCGGGAATTTGCGGCGACGAAAAATCATTTTCCATACTGACAACGCCGGCGCTGTGGAGGCATGGGCACGCCTGCGCTCCAGCAGCCCGGGCGTCCTTGATCTTATGCGGCGCTTGACGCGGGCGGCGGCAGATAATAATTTCACCCTAACCTTGAAACACGTTCGCGGCGTTGATAACGGAATAGCTGATGCCTTATCTCGTTTTCAGACGGAGCGGTTCCAGCTGGCCCTCAGGCGTCGCAGTCGCCTACACCATGTCCGGACATTTTCGGAGCCTGCAGGAGTCTTACGACCAAACCCGACTCTGCAGCGCCTCCTCGGCGCAAACATTTCCTCATCCTCCCGAACGACATACGATTCTTCGTTGAGCCGTTTCCAAGCATTTTGCCTTGCCAATCGCCTAACACCGCTCCCAGCAGCTCCGGCGACGGTCGCTGCGTTTGTCGCGCAGCTTTTCGAGGACAAGGCAGCTTATCGGACATGCAAAGTGTATTTGGCGGCGATCCACAATCATCATCGAGAAGCAGCGTTGCCTAACCCAACAGCCGACGACCTGGTCGTGCGGGCGGTTAACGGATACAAGCGGCTTAAGGGGCCGACGCCTGATCAACGTCTACCGATTACGCTGAACGTAATGCGCATGCTCAAAACGCGACTGGCAGAGCACGATAACACTGAAGAGGCCGTGATGCTATGGAGCGCGTTCTGCATGGCTTTCTTTGGGTTCATGCGAGTCAGTGAGCTGGTAAGCAAGACGTCCAGCTTGTTCGATGCGGCATCAACCCAGACATGCAACGACGTACAGTTGACGGGCGCGCGTGTGATAGTCTCACTGAAACGGACGAAATCGGACCAGTGCGCAGCAGGCACAAAGATCGAGCTCACCGCAACTAACCGCTCAGTGTGCCCTGTCCGCGCTATCGAAGCTTACCACCGGCAGCGGGAGAGGCAAGGGGGAATGGCAAAACCTTTCTACCGCTATGCCGATGGTCGCTATCTCACACGGGAGCGAGTAGATCGATCCTGAAGTCTCTCCTGGATGCCCACCCGACCGCCTGCGCTTCAGTACACAGCTTCCGCATCGGAGCGGCAACCGAAGCGGCCGCTCGAGCGCCGCCGAAGGAGGAGATAAAGCGAGCCGGACGATGGAAAAGCGACTGCGTTGATCGTTACATCCGGCCTGACGCGCTCACTAACCCGAACTTCTACCGGAAAGGGGCTTGTTTGGGGGCGAAGGGACCGGGCACAGGCGGAAGGTGCCGGCAGTGAGCAATCTGTACCGCAAAGTAAGATACTCAGCTGTAATTGCGCACTTCCGGCCATGTCGGCACTCTTCAAACCTCATTTACCGCACGAAAAGTCTGCAATATCCCAGCATACCGGATCCCAGGATAGGAAATTCGCTTACAATTTAAATGAAAGTTAAGTGTAACTTAGCTAATGTTAAATTGGCGCAATTGTTTCCCTGTTAATCCCGGCACCGGCAGCATGGTGCCGTGTGCATTTTGCCTTTCGCGCGTTACAGCTTACTCGCATTCGTGTTTTCGGCTACATTCATGCTGTTACGTTCAGATTTACCACCCGCCCGCCCTACAGGGCACATTCTGACTGTTGGTTTCTCTGAGCTGTTGTTGCAAGTTGTTTTGATTCTGTCATGCACATTGTTACTGTCATTATCATTAAAGGGGGGCGAAGGGACCGGGCACAGGCGGAAGGTGCCGGCAGTGAGCAATCTGTACCGCAAAGTAAGATACTCAGCTGTAATTGCGCACTTCCGGCCATGCCGGCACTCTTCAAACCTCATATGTCGAATATTACTGCCATACAGAGTATGCCGGTAAACGATACTGATTCGAGTACGTGTGAAAACTTTCGCTTTCACGTAATCGACACTCCTAAATATTATTTCTGTAGGAATTCCAAAAATTTCCGCGATTACGTATTAATGTAATTGCTAAACTTATTTTGTTTTTGAAACCGATTATTATTGCTCCGGGAAGTATTCCGATTGTTATTGTTATTACAAACATAAATTTTTGCATTCATTAAAACGCTTACGTCAGATACTAATTCTTCAACCTCAGTTTGATATTAACTGAAATGTTAATTCAGATATTAATTGTCTCCTTAATATCGGCTTTTTTCTCCTCTTTTTTTTAAATGATACACTTTATCAGGTTTCTTTTTATCACCAACTACTGGGAATACCAAGTTCTTGCGCTAATCCGAAACATGCTGCTGAGTCATTTTCAAAGTGCTTTTGAGTGCGCAAAACCAAAAATTCTCGTGCATGCACACGAACTTAGTATGTACAGATACTGGGTCACTTCCTTAAAATATTAGGCTGGCAAAATTTAGGCAGTTCTAAGAACAGGAAAATGTTCACTTGTCCGCGCGGTTTTAGCGGATATACCGTAGGTTTTTTTGTACTTCGTAACATCCATTTTACTACTGCTGCTCTCTAAGAAATAATACTGTAAATAGTGCTAAATACAGTACAGTAACTGCAAGCATCGTGTAATTCTCCGGACCGGCAACAGCCTAAATGTACAGGTAAGTCATTTACAATCTATTCCTGCTACGCTTCGGTCATACTAGTTTATTGGCGCAGTGCCAGCCAGCAACAACGTACACAGCATGGCGTATGGCAAGATATCGACTTACTGTCAGGGGTGAGTTACAAAGCATGCGTGCCGTACCGAATCGATTGAAATGATTCTCCGAGAGGGTCGAATGGGGCCGGTTGCAGATACACACGGCACTTCCACGTTGTAAATGCCGGTTCGCCGGCATTCTTTGTTGAAGACGCTGGCTTGACTACCAATTTTGCCCGGCACACCGCAGAACTGTTCGAGTGGTTGTTTTGGGTTGGTCGCTAGCCGGAATTGTGGCCAACAGTTAACGTCGATGGTGATGTCAACCGCCGCTAGTAACGTATTGTTGTCTCTTGCAGTGAGACGCGCCCTTGTTTGGAAACCGGTCCGGATGGGCTGTCGTAACGTCAGCTGGGCAGTATTCGGAGTACCATTAACCGGAGTTGCTAAGACGTCAATGGAGGGAGTAAATTCATAGTATACTATCCTATCCGGCCACGCTGCGTAATTTGCCTGTTTAAAAATTTAGGTTGATTCAATAGTGTTCTTTAATGAAGATTCCGCACATTCCGCACAGCAGGAGAAAAAACCTTACAGCGTGAATTTCGGCCACCCGTAACCCCACCAGTTCGCACTACTAGCAAGCAATATTTTTTGAAATGCCCAGAGAAGTTTGTGGAAAGAACGCAACAATGGCTACAGCGGACGCCAAAACGTTTATAAATCTTACAGAGCTTTATTAAAACTTTGTCACTTTATGTCGACAGAAACAGAAAATTATGGTTTTGGGCTTTAATTCTATGTAATAATTCTATGTATCTAAACCGTTAGGAATTTTTTTGATGACTGGAAAACAGATCCTTCAGATCCGAAAAATTAGTACGCAGTACACGGAGAGAATAAGAAGTAAGAATAAGAATAAATAACGTAATGTCTGTCCTATCGACCTGACTCAACGACAGAGAACGAGCTAATAATTTCAAAGTGGCATTCAGGATGAGAGAAACAACGTATTGAAAATACTGTCTCTCTGAGACTTCTGTATGCGCGGGGCGCGTCCGGTAGAAACACTAGAACGTTACACTGTAGAGTGTTACAGTAGGCCCGATCAATCCTAGCTAATCTTCTCAAGAAAGATATCGCGAAATAAAATGTGAAAGCAGAATGCGTCACCGATGGATGACACACAGCAAAAATACAAATGCGTTGGACCAGTAATATGCAGTGGATCACCACAGAAAACGCAAGCACTGACTGTTAAATGAATCGTGCTGCGTACACACAAACGAATTGTACACAGCAGGGACAACGGAGGTGAATGTGTATGTGAAATAGAAAACGCAGCTTCGAAGCTGCGTTTTGTAATTCATCTGTGGATCACGTAGCGGACCAATGAGCGCAGCCGTTAGCTTTCGGCTTGAGAATGTTGTGGTGACTAACTCGCGTTATCTTTCACGGGCGCGCAAGAGAGCGTTGTGCCCTACTTCAGCAAAAACATCTGCCAAATGTTTAGCCAGGTCTGATCAGCACTAGTAGAACGATGCTGATTTATTACTTACTAATCTTTTACCTGAATTTCACCAATGGGAGCGGCTTCGCTCACTGATCCTGTTGCATTAGGCCAGCAGAAATAACTCTGTGAAACTGTTTTCGTGTCAAATCCGGGTACGCCGTAAACTGCTCCGTTATCTATAATCCAGAGAATTTTTGTATGTCGCATGGTTTTTTTACGCAGCCGGCCCCTGCTGGTAGCGCGCAAAAATTAGCTTGTTTTCAGAAGTAATTCGCCACGTTAGGCATTAAAATAGTTTTTATTTTTTGTAAACCTATTGATATGCAGTTCTCATAAATGTATCTCGAAATTGGTGAAGCGCGAGCATTAGAACGCAGCGTAGAAAGTCTATGCCCACGCGTTTAAATGGTGGCGTGTTGTTGCGAGAGTAATTTTTGAACCGCGAAGCGACGAGCCGATTTATGTAAATTGTTTTTGTTGTACACTGTACCTGTTGCTTCGCAAGCAATGTTACAATGATACATGTAACTCAGCACTTCGCAGTCTCCTTTGCTAAGCGTAGTCGTTGTGCCGACAGTTTTCCCAAAAGGGGCCAACTGAAAAACCGGGTCACGAGCGGATTTAGCATACCGCTCTGGATGCACCATCGTAACGGACAGTATATCGAATGTGTCAGGGAATACAGCCAAAGTTTCCGCTGCCGTCTTTTTATGGAACATTCCGTCGGCTCGCACTGTGTCCAGAAGTTTTTCGTCGTAGTTCGTCAGAAACCGCATGGGGCTGTTCGGTGCATCGCGATCCGGACGCTGAAATTCACTGATTACGCCCAGCGCGTTGAGTAATAGACGGGTAACGTCGCGCTGATCTTGCAGACAACCGGCGCGACCGGCGGCCGGATTGCTCGTAGTTCCTACCAGCACCAGATTCTGGCTTCCGCCCAAGTAACCGAGAGGGCCTCGACATACCGGAGAGAGAGCCCTAATAGTAGTAAACAATTATTGTTGACGTTAAATAGATAGTGTCGAAGCCTTGATATCTGAAATGGTTTCCTCGGTTTCATAATATAACGCTCTTGCTATAGTATGCATTTGTGCAATACAATAATCATACAGATACATATTATGACTGGCAGCAGCGATTTTGTTTTTCCACTTACTGTACGTATAATTTCTTTCAAACGGTATCTCT